GCGTAAACCGTATCCAGTCGGTGAAGCCTAACCAAAACCATTGAAGTCGAATATCAGCTGGGAATCGCAATGCAAGGGGGCACCGGTTGGGCGCAATGCGCAGGCAAGCATGTGTTCCTGCTGAATGTAGGATGAAGGAGAGGTTGTGTGCGGAAAAAGGCTTTTCAAATCACTGACTGGAAGCTGTCTAACTGAGTGCATGCCAGTGGGAAATCAGTAAGAGCGGACATTGAAACCGCATCGCCTGACATTTGTTAATTCTAGCCTATGGCAGTTAACCTGATGTGTGCGTGTGCTCGTATAAATGCGGCGAAATGGTGCTTCTGTGGTTGTTTTTCAACCCACTTTATGCTGGTATTTGGTCATTAAGGCATGTTCATATACCAAAACGACTGGTTCCGAAATTGCCGAAGGACCGGCTGATGACGGAAGACGAGTGGCGTGCCCTCGGCATCCAACAGTCAGTCGGATGGGAGCATTATATGGTTCATGAGCCTGAGCCGCATGTTATCCTATTTCGACGTCCGCGTACCGACATTCCTGCTGATGCCGCCCCTGCGACAACTATTTCCAACCGAGATGTTAACCAAAAAGTGCAGCAGCAAGGTTGACTGCAAATGTCAACTTCGACAGACAAACAATCTTGGGAGTTTTTTATACGCTTGTTTGTTTACACGTAGATGGTCCAATAAATGGCACTTTTATCATATTTGTGAGTCAGTCTTGCAGTTTATGATGTGTATGGGGTGAATTTATTGAAGCACCTATAGCCACATATTGGCCAATTGATGTGTTTGGTCCTAGTGCCACTTTGCGATGTCTACCATCCAAACTAATTTACCTTTGTAAATGGCCGTTGTTTATCAATGAAGTTACCTTCGTCTCCTCAGGTTAAACAAACCAAAATTCCATATGAGGGTGTGTTGATGGGCATTACTGAGCGGCATTTTCTAATGCCTGCGTATATGTATAACGTGTCAGGAGGACAGTCGCACGTGGCTACTACTTGGAAGAGCATCATGCGTGGAGTGCATCAGTATGGCAGATGGCTTACGTACAAGAAGCACAAAGTTAGCATGGACGTTTGGGGCAGTGGATTGCATGGCCATGTGGTTTCAGTGTTGAGATGTGACGAGTAGTTGTGGAGATTCAACTAAGTGTAGAGATTGCCTCGATTGGTTCTACGCTAGTTCGCGAAGAATTGGGGCTTTGAAATAGGTGTCTTCGTTGGAAGTAGCTCGAGGTGCCGAAGACGGTGTAGACATGCGCAATATTGCCACAAATTAGGGCATTGTTTGTCATCTGCTCTTATAACGTGTCCTCCCTGTTGGTAGCTACTGGGCTCTGGTTCGATACTGGACCTCGTTGTCGACGCGTCATTGAGCTGAGCACCCGTCAATTTACTGGAGAATTCACCCTTGATTTAAGAGCCGCTAGTGCATTTGGTAACGCAACAGGGTTAAATGCGTTACCTGCGACGACGGAGAGAATTACGGAGCACACAGCAAACACCAAACTGCTTACAGCTGCAAGATTGTGGCTAAGGAAGAGCGAGAGGTTCTTGTGGTCACATCCACAGGCCATGCACATGAAGCAAAACAACAGGTGCTGGAGGTACTGCCTCGAGCACATCACGCTATCTATGACACGTGATAAGGCATAGAGCAGTTTTGCGCTACTATTTGCTTCTAGTTCAAGCGGTTCTTGTGGCCATGAAAGATAAACACATACAGAGACATGACAAGGTTTGTGGCAGTGTTGGGGATCCACGATTCCCCAAGATTGGTTTCTGATGCTATTTACAGTTAAACACTAACATAGGTTTTGCTACACTTTTTATCAAGTCAAGATCAACCTGACTTGAATTTGTTCGACTTCCGGACTGCTCATCGCACGTGGCTGACGTGAATACAGCTCTCTACACGAGCTCTGGTCTTGTTCTGGTATTAGCCTGGGAAGGTCGGTTCTAGCTTTCAGCAAGGGATCTGGTACCGTTATTTGAGTGGTCTTCTCTATTGTTACGGGCAAACGTAACAAATTTGGCGACGCAGGTGAGATGAGTGATAAGGGGATGGAACAATCGCTCGAGCGGCTAGTGTCAATGCTTGCAGATCGCCAGTCGTCTCAGGCCGCTTCCGCCAGTACGCCGTCAATTGATGGCCTCACCAACAGTATCTCGGAGTTTTCCTATGATCCGGAGAACGGCGTAACGTTTGAGTCCTGGTATCGGCGTTACGATGACATGTTCCGAGTCGATCTCGCATCCCAGGATGACGCATGGAAAGTCAGACTCCTTACCCGCAAACTTGGCCCAGCTGAATTTAAGAGATACACCGACACGATCCTCCCAAAGTCCTCTCTCGACTTCACTTTTGGAGAAACCGTTCAAAATCTCAAGAGTGGGTTTGGAGAACGCACCTCCTTATTCAGTACCCGGTACCAATGTCTCAAACTCGCAATAGGAGAGTTTGACGACTTTCTTGATCATCTA